ACACCAGAACAAAGGAAAAACCAAATTCTATCTAATCACGGGTGAAATAGAACCACGATATATATTTTTACCTTCTGTACCCTATTACATTGTGTTGGCCACAAGCTTGACTGGGATAGATTGCCACATATTGCCAGTTGCAGGCAGTGACTATGTTGCAGGTATGCCAGAAGCATTTGTGGTGAAAGCCCATTTTAGGGAGCAACAGTGTATGTATGTATTTGAGAACCAGGCTTATAAGATTTTGGGTTGACAATAAATTATAAATAAAGATTAAAATTATAGTCTGGATCAGCATTTTAATTTAATCACGGGTAAATAACTTAGTCTTGGAAATGTAAATGATACACACAGAACAATAACAAGTTATTGCAAAAGTCTTGTTTTAAGAAAAAATAAATAACTTGCTGAAAAAATTGCTTCTAGTAAGTCGGTCACTCGTTAGAACGTTTCTGGCTTACCTTATCTTTGAAAACAACAGCAATGTACATTTTAAAGTCAAATTGATCCGCCAACGATTCTCGCTTTCGTCGTAACTGCGACCGCAAACGGCTGAGAGTTGCTGATTTTCTGGAGGCAGGATCGGCCATTTGAGACTTACAGTCTGTCCAGCTTTTTAAACGAAAACTAAAACTTACGGTTGAAATTTGTTAAAAAATTCGTGTTAGCTGGACGCACAGTTGATGATTCACTGGCTGTTCTCGCGAGAAAAACTACAACGTTCCGACCTAAAATCCTTAAGGGCTATTTTATACAATCTAAAATTTTCATTTTCGGCATTTTGATGGTCCCTACAGCGCCTGGATTTGCTAAAATTCATGAAAAGTTAGGTTGTTATCCACCGTTCGCTCTTCGTTCTATGAGACGGAAAGATGGCGTCCAATGACGTCATTAACCTCGTTTTGAGTTCACATAGCTTGAATTCTTTACATTCCACAGCTCAATCAAAAATGGCGATTGACTTGTACAGGTTGATTGGTGTTGTTGTTAGCGCTTGTGTTTCTATCTTTCTTCTACTGGTGGTACAGGCGATTTTAGTTTTTAGAAAACTGAAACCAAAGTCAAGTCGGAAGGGCCGCAATGGAACGGTTGTCCTTCATCAAATGCCACCAAATAACAGAGTTTTAAATGTCTCTCCACCGTGTCTCAAGTTAGAAGCGTACTTAAGAATGAACAATATCCCTTATGAGAGCGATTACAGTTTCAATATGTCGAGTAAAGGGAAAGTTCCATGGATAGAATACAATGGAAAGTCCGTTGCTGATTCTAACTTTATAATCCGTTTCCTCAACGAAGAATTTCAATTTGACCCAGATGCCCATTTGAGTGTTGTGGAAAAAGCTATTGCACACTCGATGCTGGTCACACTCGAGGAGAATACTTACTGGTACGAAGTTTAACAATATTATATCAGTTTCATTTTATAGTAAGTTTGATTACTATGGATGTGTTTAGCAGCTCTCTCTTTAGTATCAGCTATCTTCAGTCTTGTCAATCTCCACATTTTATATTGATTTAGCGCATTTCCCCCGCTTCCCTTTCATCACTGCACTGCAGGAGCTGTGACATTCTTAGCAGTGGCGGATGTAGGGGAGGGGCCCGGGGCCCTGGGCCCCCCTTATTTTGCCAAAAAAAAAAAAAGAAAATCACAGAAGGAAGAAAAGCCGGCAGGGCCAGCAAAACAAACCGCCCCCACCCGAGCCCCACCCCCTCTTAGCTCAAGGTCTGGATCTACCACTGTTTTAGTTGATGTTGTCAAAAATGCAGAAACCATAAGTTTATTTGGAGCAATCTGTTGAGCCTGAAGTTCAAAGAGGGAATTGTTGCCAACTACTATAAGTATTTAGTGCCAAATGGAGAAGGACATGGTCACCAGAAAAAAAAAATTCAATGTCACTTAAGCCCACACTTTTTTATTTGTACAGGAACATAATCATTGGTAATCAAAAACATTCTCTCATTCTCTGGCACAAAAGCTTTTCTCAGAACCTAGGTAAAATGGTCTGCTTTGACAAACGTACTATTTATTTATTATAAAGCGGTTTTCAATTTAGTGTCATAAAACCAAAACCAAAACCAATTACTTACCAATTAGACTTCTCAGCTAATCTCGAACTGTAGTAAAACCAAAACCAAAACCAAAACCAAAGTAATTGTTTAATTACTTTTGACACTCAACTGAAAACCGCTCCAAAAAAGTAATCCTGTGTTTAATTTCAAACAGGACACTAATATATCACAGCTTTGTGGCTGATCTCACGGATACAAGAAGAATGTCACCCTTGCTTGGAGTGATGCCCATTCCATTGAAACATATCGTGTCTTGGTTTGTATCTTACCACATGGGTCGGTCCCTGTGGAGTCATGGAATAGGACGGCACTCTAGACAAGAAATTTACAGCATTGCAGAGAAAGACTTGAGGGCTGTGTCGCAGCTGTTAGGAAAGAAAAAGTTTGTGATGGGTAACAAGCCATGCCTTCTTGATGCTGCACTGTTTGGATTAGTTGCAGTGTTTCTCTGGAATATTCCACACAGTCCACAGGCTAAATTGATTCGATCACAGTTAAAGAACTTAGAGGCACACTGCTATGCTATAAAAGAAGATTACTTTCCAGATTGGGATCATTTAATACTTAAACATAAACAGTCTCCTTAAATACACCTAATATGAATCAAATTTACCTACAGTTATGATAATCATATTTAATAATACGTCTTAAACCATAAAGTAATCATTTCTGCTAGTCTTGCATATAGAATTGCTGAAATGATAAAATATCAATTTTATCATACACCAATCAGTAAATACATGTAGAGACAAAACTTGACCTGGTTATCAGACTAGAAGTTATTGTCATTTTTGCATACATTAGCAACACCAGAACTCCAGAAAATACTATGCCCCTTATTACACACAAAACTGTCTGATTTCAAACCTAACAGACTAACATTTTGCAAAGAAGTCTAGGGGCTTATAAACAATTTAAAAAGTAGGAATCATTTAACTGTGTATTGTACACATTGATAAAATACAACTGTATGTTTATTTTTGTATTAAAATATCTTAGCTGTTTAACAGTCCAGGGGCTGATCTAGGGGGAGAGTGCAGGGGGTGCACACCCCTTTCTGAGATGAAGCCTTCTTCTTTGTATTCACTTTTAAAATTTGTTTACCTCACCAGTCAGTTACTACTTTCCTTAGTGGTGCAGCCCCTCCTAAGAAAATTCCTGGATCTGCTGCTGCAGTCTGCCCTATCTACTATACTCTATGCTGTGTTCTTGGGAAAGACACTTGACTCTCTCAGTGCGCCTCTCTACACAGTTCAGCTGTAATTCAGTTGAAAGAAAGCATTATGCTATCCACCACATAGATCATTATTCAATGCATTGCATAATTTGCTTTCTCAACGAGAACCCAATAGACAGCAATTGATCTGGTGGATAATCTTATCCACCTACTGGGAATTAATGGGAATTAATCCTGCAATGGAATAGCATTCCATCCAGGGGATAAGAGGAGGGGGGGAGGGAATACTATTAGTTACCTTTATATGGTAACCAGAGTTGAGTCTAACATTTGATTACAGCCCGGAGGCGGGGG